TTAAATACTTTTGAGATTTTAAATTTAATATTTTGTTTGGAAAAACTTTTAACAACTATTTTTTATTATGTTTAAAAAAAAATTATACTAAAATGTAATTTTAAAAAGAAAAAAATTGTCTCAAATGAAATTTAAGATCTCGTTTGAGATAGCTATCGTATTGATTTATAAAATAATATTTTAGTATAAAAATAAAAAAATTTATACTAAAAAAATGATTTAGAAAACTCTAATAAAGTTTTTCTAAGTTTTTTCAATTTTTAAAATAATTTTTTGATATAATAATTTTTTGAATTAAAAAATTTTGTAAAAAAAATTATTTTAGAAAGTTTATCAAATATAGGTTAAATTTGTCAATTTACTGCCGGGAATTTCGTAAAAAATTAATATTTTAATATTTTAATAAAATAATTGATTACTTGGGACGAGTTGGTCTTTTTTTGGTTTTTAGGGAATTGAATTTGTCTTTTTATTATAAAAAAGGACGAGTTGCTTTTGTCATATCCAGAAATGTTTATAATTTGTTTGATCGGATGCCATCACGTGAGTCTCGGCATTTGAAAATTCAAATTAGTGCCAGCGAGGCGATTATAACCTTCAAGATCTTATTCCAAATAAATATGAGCCCTGAAAAGTACTCAAAAAAATAATAATATTGCTTGAAAATTTTGTGAAGGCTGAAATGAATTCAAAATTCTGCACGGATTGGAAAGGGTTATCTCATCATAACAATTCTCAACAAGAATGTTTCATTTTGGATTCGAATGAGTCCAATTGAGCGACATGCATGAGCATTAAACATTATATAAAAGTTTATGGAGACCCAAGTGAGCATGAGCATTAAACATTATGGAGCTTTTGAGCACATGCAGCCGCATCAGGAAGAAAAATCGTCAAGTTTATTTGTTTTTTTTTTTTTTTTTTTTTTATAAAAAATTGAATTTGTAGTTAAGAAAAATATTATGAATAATCTAAGACTTAATCATGCTATTGATATTGAATTTATTTGCTCAAAATAAATATTTTTTTATTTATTTATGTTGATAAACTTTCATGAGATGAGATTGAATAATTATTAAGAAAATAAGAAATAAAAAATAAAAGGTGAACTATTTTTTAAATCAAAGAAGTATGTTGTTCGCCTTTAATATGCAAGGAGAAAAAGAGGAGCCAAAAAGAGCAAGAGAAAGAGAGAGAGAGAGAGAGAGAGAGAGAGAGAGAGAGAGAGAGAGAGAGAGAGAGAGAGAGAGAGAGCGAGCAGGAGATGGAAGGCAAGTGAATGATCAAGTAAAAGAGAGAGAGAAAGACCAAGAGACTGAGTGAGCTAAGAGGAGACTTCGCGCAAAAGAAAGAGAAAGACCAAGAGATTTAGTGTGCTAAGAGGAGACCCAAGTGAGCATGAGCATTAAACATTATGGAGTTTTTGAGCACATGCAGCCGCATCAGGAAGGAAAATCGTCAAGTTTATTTGTTTTTTTTTTTTTTAAATAAAAATCTTAATCCAATAAGTCCAAAATATCAAAAGTCCAAAAAAAATTTGGATACAATAGACGATTACATATGGACACTCAAATGAGGAGAAAACTAAGCATAAAGGCCACCAGACTCAGCATTGGCACAGACTACCAACCACTCCAAATTCAGGTACGGACCATCCAGAGGAGTGAAAGTGCTAAATTCCACCAAAAGCCAACCAACCGCATCACCACTAATAAGAACCACCACCGAAGATTGCCAACTAGCCATGGATATAGAGTGATGAGCCCGTGCCCCATCATTGCCCAAAAAACACTAGCAAAATCCGCAAGGCCAACTCAAGACATAACCAGAAAGGGCAACATGAAACCAAGTAGGAGGGGACACAAAAACTACCAACACAGCAACCTCCAAACACACCAGAAAAGAATTATTTTTTGGCTTTCCACTTTGAACGTTTACCCACCCAAAAATGATCATCTTGCAAGAGCCCTTTCTGAGGTAAAATAACCTCTTCTTCAGCTTCAGAAGAAGAAGGAGAAGAAAGTACAAGCCAATCAGTTTGAATTCTAACACTATCACCCGGTCTGCCACCCACATGGCCAACCAAATCATCAAACGAGATTAAATTAACTGGGACCTCAACAAGAAATTCATCCGACTGCACAGGAGGAGAATAACCATTAAGGGTCACATCACAAACAACCAAAGGATTACACTCAGGCTCAGCAATCAGCAATTCCTCATAATCATCACTCAACATCTCCACATCCTTCCCACTAGAAGAACTATCCCTCAAGTTCAAGCAAGAGTTAGCAGCGGGGACGGTAACACCACCATCCTCAAGAAAAGACCTAGATTTGAACGATCCCTCCAAAAATCCAGGATCGCACAACCGCTTCCCAACCATTCAGAGAGGAAAAACGGAAGCACCGAAGCAAAATAAAAACGGACAAAAGGAACACCGCGTGAAAAAGAGGCAAGGGAAGAAAACTTCCCTGGAGCACCAAGGAGCGAAAGCCCCAGCCGGCAGGCCGCCAGGAACTCGAAGGCGGGAGCCCTAGCAGAGACCAGAGCCCTAGCAAAGACAAGAAAAACTATATAAATAATTTTAAGCATGACTTATCATCAAGATTATTTGTTCTTCCTTCTTTTCCTTGCAAATATGTAAGATAAACTATAACCTAGCATTTGTTCCAATTTTCGTAAAATAATTTGGAGCCTTATATATAGCCACTAATGCACATAAAAAGATGTTGTAGGTGAATTGATTAAGGGTTTTCAATAGTAATTTTATAAGGAATATTAACCTAATAAATAAGAAATACTTTATTTATTTGCATGCAATCATAAATCTAATAAAAACCCTAAGTTTCTATAAGTCATGCTTAAAATGAAATTTTTTTATGTGCAATTATAGGTTTTCCAAAAATGTGTTTAATGGTTCCTTTTAGAGGTTTGTGAATTAGGGTTAACAAATTTATGCCTTTTTTTTAAGTTATGATTTAGGTTTAGTTTTATAAGAGAAGAATTATCAATGATATAGATAATTTTATTATAAGAAACCAATATTTTCTTAGATAAGCGTTATTTGCTTATCATTAAATTATAAATTAATCAACATACTAAAAATAATCAAGATATTAATTAATTTACTAAGAGAGTAATTTAATTTTTACTTAAGAAGAAAAGTGTTCAATAAGTTGTAAATGATTCACCTACATTAACATAAAGTTAACAGTAATTTAAGATATTAATTTATGAAGAATTTTAAGATGTTTCTTAGTATTAGGGAATTCAACTAATTTTATTTTTCATGCCTTATACTTGGATGTTGTGATTGATTTAAATGGATTGATGTTCAATAAATCATATTTGATGAGTAGTACTTACACATATTAAAGTGAGTAATCTCATTTCTAAATTTGAATAATGTCGAAATTTAAGATTTTTATCATTTCCACTTTTGTATATGCATAACATGATTCATTGATGTATGATAATAAATGCAAATAAGTTATGATTAATTTATCTTTTCCAATGTAAAATACTCCTTAAAAATTGAGATGAATGAAATGAAAGCCTCTACGTTTAGTTCAAATGATTTTATTTTATGATACAAAATTTTCTTATATGCAAAGAAAAATGAATAAAATGAAACCATATATTAATTGATATTTATACATCACTTGAAAACCCATCAATAAGGTATGAATCTTGACATAAGAAAATTTTAAGAGTGAATTCATGGTCATCCAAAGTCTAAAGCTCTTATTAACATTTGACACTGATAATTGCCACCAATAACCATCATCATCTGATTGTGTATACAAATCACTTTCACTCGATCATTATTGTATTTGTTCATCAACATCTGACCACTATCATTTTATTATCATCATCAAACTCTTATAATTTGCTCAATGACACATTACCACTTGAAGCTTGACTAACATCATCCAAATATTGTCTTCAAGAAATCCTGTATTCATCAATACTTCTCCAACAGTCCCAGCTTTAATGGGAGAATGAGCAATACTCTAAGTATTATAATCATGTAATTTCTAAGGGAAGAGCAAACATTTGTAATCCACATTTTTTAAATATTATATTATCATTAAGGATTCATTTTATTTGGAGAGGGCTGCTTAATTTATAATATAAAAAATCACTTGCCGAATTTTCATTTCTCTTGGAGAGGGATGCTGATTAGAGAGAGAGGGACAAAATCCAAGAGAAAGAAAGTTGGATTTAGAGGTCATATAGTTAATTTCGTTAGACAAGCTAGTTGGAAAAGTAGTCTGTATCAAGGTATGTTATCATTAACCTACTCTAGTTTTAAATTAAGGTCGTACATGTGAATGTTTTGGTAATTTATCTAATTAAATTTCATACAAAATCAAATTTATGAAGATTGGAAAACTTTTCATCATGAAACTTTAGGGATGTTATTGAGTTGAGTGTTATAGTCATGTTAATAAGAAAAACGTACATTTTCACTTAATATTTTTAGCTAAATGAAATTTTAGGTGTTTTAATGAGTGTATTTACACTAATAGAAGTGAAAATGTAAGTTTTTTGTGTTGTGTTAGATATTATATGGAGAAAGCATATGATAAAGTTACAAGAGAAGTTATATAGAGTGTTCTAAAAATGAAAAATGATTAATATATCTATATTCAAGTCATTAGGGATATGTATGTTGGAGCTGTTACTTGTGTTCAAACACAAGGCAGTTTGACCAAGTATTTTCCAATTCAGATGGATTACATCAAGGATCAGCCGTAAGCCCGTATCT